GCACCCAGGGCTTGATTTCTCCCCCAAGTGTCATTCAAAGCCTGGCTTTAGTGGGAAACTTGATATCTTTTCCCCATCAGGATCCTGGCAAGGTGCTTTTTTGCAGAATGCCACTTGTCTTGACTGCAGGTGCATTTTTTTTAATCCCTTCTTTCCCGGGAGTCCAGGTCTGGAGCACCCAGCAGCCCCTGTCATTCTTGTAACAGAATAACTCTCTTAGGATCAAATTCCTGTGTAACTTTCCTCCTATTTGGGAGTGCCTCTGAAAAGGCATCAAGATGCAAGTATCAACTGCTTGTGTTTAAAATAATCCCTTCCTCCCTGAGGGGGTAGAGCTTCAGAGGAGGGGATTGGGGATTTATGCCAGCAGAGACTCCTCACATAGCTGGGCCATACCCACCAGCCACTTCACAGCTGGTTAAATGTTGCCATCTTACAGCAGGGGTTCCATACTGCCATCTCCTTATTGCAAAAGTTTCAGACCTTCTTGGTGCTTTCTCATGGGCAGCACCTCAGAGCACTGACTCTTTTTTTCTTCACAAAGCAGCCAACTGACTCCAACTCCCCTCTCAACCAGCCACCCCACTCTTTTATAGACTCTTCTTCTCACTGGTTACAGCTGTGGCCTGTTAAAGTCAGGCCTGTTCCTAGTCTTTGATAATTAGCCCAGCTGCAACTCCTTAGGGGTAAGAGCGGCAAGGGGCAGGTGGGTCCTGAAAGTTCTGCCTCCTGTCCCCAGGTCGGAGAAGGTTGGCGTGGTGCCGGGAGGCAGATGAGAGGAACACCATTTGCATTGCAGAGGCAGAGGGCACAGTGGGAAGCGATCATGCCTTGCGTGCTGTGGGGAACAAACATTTCTAGATCCAAAATGAGGATTGTCGGAACAGCTTCTATTCCCCTGCTGCTGGCATGTCTCAGTGATTTTGGGAAAAGGAAGCGTTTGGTCACCTGTTCTGCCATTCCATTGGCAGTGTGGTGCCAGGCTGTGGGAATGCAGAGTCCGCCTGGCGAGCTGGGCCTGGGCTGTTGGGCTCGGGACCCTGGACCATGGCCCCCTCTTGGCCTTCTGCTTGGTTTGGGGGTTTTGCTTTCCCCTTCCGGTCCTGGGCTTCCTTTCTATGGGCCAGGTCTGGGGTTCCTGATCCTTCAACATTGGCCAGGGCCCCACAGAGCCTTTCTCTGGCTCCAATGCTGCTACTGCTTGTCTTTCAAAAAAAAACAAAAAAACACCCAAAACAAACAAACAAAAAACAAACAAAAACCAAAACCAAACCAAAACAAAAACAACAACAACAAAAAATAGCTGGCAGCAGCTCTGAAGCATTGAAGGGCCAAAAATTAGCTTCAGCCCAAGTTGTTCAATAAAGGGCTCTGGCCAGGACATTCCAGAAGTTGTCTCAAAATTCTTTGAAATTCTTTTGTGACTGCCAATGGACTTTTGATAACTATTGATGGACTTTTCTGCAGCAAGCCTGTTTCAGGACCAAAAAGGAGTTTCAAAGATGGCAAAGAGGAACATTTTCAGTCCGTGGACTTTTCCTGAAACTCAGCTGCTTGGACTTGAATTTTCTTTGTGTTGTTTTTGCATTTTCTTGTATTGTGGGATTATCTTGGTGATTTGGTAGAATTTTATGTTCTACAGGTGAAGAAATTCCCTGTTCATTCCACACCAGCACCTGAGTGAGGTTTTGATTTGCAACAGATAACCAGTCAAGTGTTTGTTCTTTCCTCTGCATGTGCCCAGCAGAGAAAATTACAAACACATTTCTTTTTAATTTAACTAAATAAAAAAGGTGACATGTGGCAGACGTCTTTTCATTAAAAATCCTTTCATTAGGATTTTTCCTGCTGAAGCTGAGAAGTTTCAGCAACAAATGTAAACAATGGTTATCTGCTGCTGTGGAATACAACAGGTGGATCCATGATTGGTCTCCTGTAGATGTTTTGATTTACTGACCACTCACAGCAGAGCTGCTCTCCCTCTCTGCTGAGACACAGATTTTTGTTATTCATTCTTTTCTATTCTTAGCTTAGCAAGCCTTCTGAGAACCTTTTACTTCTATTTTTTTAGTATAGTTATAATGTAGTATATATACCATAAAATAATAAATCAAGCCTTCTGATTATGGAGTCAACATTTTCATCTCTCTCTCATCCTGAAAACCCCTGTGACCACGGTGACAGGCAATGTTGGTAGGGCAGCTGATAAGGTATTGTGGGGAGGTATAGTCCAGCAAGACATTTCTGTCCTGGCTCCTTCTTTGTAGGTGCCATTGCTGGACAAAGTGACTACCAGACGTGGTATGCAACTTTTGCTTGGTAAGTTCCTGAAGGAGAACAGCAATGCTTTCTCATGGGAAGGAAAGAACTTAGCCCCAGTGTTGGAGGTGCAGATAAGAAGCTGTGTCCTGCAGCTTAATGGCAGCAGCAACTATCTATCCTGGCATATTTGGTTTGGAAGGACTGACTCAACGTGTACAATCATGGAGTCGATATCCATCTTTGGAAGGCAGTCTCCTTCCTGAAAGAATCCATTTGGCATATGTTTTCCACTTCCTCGAGGCAGCCTTCTTGAAATTCTGCCAGCACACTTCTTTTGGACAAGGTAAAGAGCTGCGCTGGGTCCTGGTGTGCAGCCTAGCTAGTGCCCTGTGCAGGTAATGCCCAAGAGCAGTGTTCTGACACCTTGGTATAGGATCAGGCCCTGGATGTTTTGGATTTTGGAGGAGGGGATGCCATTTCTTTTAAGATTGGCTTCTAGTTCCTCCTCTCTTTGGCAAAGTTTGGATGGGCACTTTGGGTGGTCTCAGTGAATTGAAAGGCATTTCCCAATAGGCAGTTCTCTGGGTTAGAGTTGCTGAACTGTCAGTGGGAATGCAGAGGCCAGGCCTCTATAGGACAGGTTTTTGTCCCTTGTAGCCTTAGGGACAAGTGTGAGCAGTGCCTGGTGCCATCCCATTTCGATCCTGACTTGGAGAGATTGGAGGCTTATGGTGCTACCTAGAGCTGAGAAGGAAAGTGGCAATAGCAGGGTGTGTTTATAGTTTGATGGGTACAATTGAAATTGTAGGCAGCAAAGAGCTTTCTCCACCAACAGTTTTGCAAGCTTTGTTGCAAGCTCGGCCAATGTTCTCAAGTTTCTTACCAGACTCTATGAGAGAGAAAAGTTTGTTAGGGCAGAAGAGCTGGTGTTGGCCTTTGAGCGTGGGGCAAAGAAGAGTATCCACTTGGAAGGGGAAGATGGGTGAAATCTTTTTGTCCCAACACAGTTGATTGGAGAGCAGGGACGTTTCTGACTTGGCTGTGTCCTGGGGGTGGTTTTGAGCAGGGCTCGGTGTGCGTCCTTGTTTTGTGGGTTGACAGTGCTGGGGTGTGGTTATTTAGGTGAATACTGACAGTGCCCAGGAAAAAGACAAGCACTTTTCTAGCCCAGCCCTTTTGTGTGGGAGCAATGTGGGGGCAAGAGTTCTGCTGTGGATCCAGGCTCTTGGGGACTGACAGAATGGGATCCTGCATGTAGCAGAGAAGGAAGAGAAATCATTTCATTGTTGGCTGCACAGTTTATAAGCTTCAAAATAAAAGGCAATTACAGCGTGGTCTCTTCATTTTCAAATGCTTTCTGGGCCATCAGCTGCTCAACATCTAACTCTCACCCAGTGAACTGCATCCAGCTCCCTGGAGATATGCATTTTCCCTCAAGATCTATGTACCATCTTGCACTCCAACACTTGAAGATCCCAAACGGCTTCAAAATGTCCAGCAGCTGCTCTCAAAGAAAAAGTCCTACGACAAAAAGGCAGTGCTGGCCATAGCAGTCCCTTTGCAGTCTGTCAACCAAATGAAACATACTGCTAGGCTTCTGAGAAGCCTTGGTGGGGGGGGGTGTCCTCAAATAAACACCCTTTCTCACCCTGCTGCCTGCAAACCCCCTCCCAATAACTCCTACCTGGATACCTGCTCACCCTCACTCTCCTAGTCACAATCCTCAACTCATCTGAGGCCTCAGTCTCAAACATCATCTTTGACACTGGGCAGATCCCTCTTGTGACATGATGAATCTGCTGGAAAAGGTGTTGTAATTGACACAACCGGGAACCTCTGGAAGCTGTGCTCCTCCCAAAAACAATAAAACAACAAAACAAGAACAGCCCCAGAAATTGCAAAGGAGCTTTACCACCCCTAAGCACAAAACCCAAAATCATGAACTTAAATACTCCCAGTATTCCACAGTTTTCCCCACAGTCTCTTCCCAGTCTCTGTTGCTTTAGATGCCCAGAAACACCTGCTGAAAACAAGCTGAGATGAGCTGAAAGAACCTCTTCACTGAAATGAGAGGAGAGCTCTTACCCCAGCACATCCCAGAGAGGGAATGAAGCCCCTCAGCCAAGGCTGGGGTTAATGTACCCCTGATGGTGCCCACCTCTCGTTCCCATGGCACCCAGGAAAAGGGAGGGGGCAAATCCCAGCGGGTATAAAAGCCCTCAGAGCAGCTGCAGCTGTTTGGCTCCTCTGACTCGAATTCAAGGGCAGTAAAGGGCTTGTTATAGAAGAAAACTCTTCACAAAAATAACAGTGCTTTCTTTTTTGCAACAGCTACTTGGAGCAGAACAACAGAAAACTGGTAAGACATAAAAATTTGTGTTTAGGTAGCATAGCTAGATAAATTGGGTAATTTGCTGTTAACTTACATAATTATTCTGTGTTTAACAAAAGCCATCTGATAAATCCACACCCAAAACTCCAGCAGCTCAGCTGGCCCTACCAAATCTCTGTTTATTCATACAGCAAACAAAACCAAAATCCCAGTAATACCTATCAGAAATCTATGAAAGAAACCTATTGAAATTAATCCTACTTCAAATACAAACCAACTCATCCAGAAAGTTAGCTTCACTCAAAAACCAACTTACACAGAGTTAATAATACCAAGAAATAAAACAACACACCATATACCACCAATGAATATAATAGTGAAAGGAAAAAACCAAATTTTTTCTCTTTTTTTTTTCTTTATTTAAACTAACTTATTAGCTAGAACAAAAGATTTTGTCAGGGCTGTAACAACAACTTCTTCTTCTCCTTCTGAAATGTCCCTTCTCATTCACAAATTCCTTTCAACTCCTGAGTTTAAATCCAAGCAAGAAGCAAAATTCGTGCACTTGTGCGTTCGCCGCTCCTGTCAGATTCTCTGTTTCCCTCCACATCTTCTTACACTTTCAGTCTTCACGCCGTCCTGCCGTGATGAGTTTGACAAAAGAATTGGTAAATGTTGAGAGGATTTCCCTCCCCAGAGCTGGTTTCCTCAGCGCATTTCACTCAATCCCAAGCCTGCAATGATGCACGCTCACCTGAAGGAGGGGAATAAATCTGTAAAGGTCACTAAATACGTAAAAGCGCATCCCCATTGTTCCA